CGGATATGCTCCCGACCAGCTTTTCCGCCAGGGGGGCGCCTTGGACGCCCTTATTCAGCTCGGAACGCCCTGAACTCGAGCCGAGGGCGTCCACAAAAATAAATAATTCGAGAGAAGATCAAGAGTTTTTATCGCTTGAAATGACGAAAAGGACAAGGACAAGGACGCCCCCCACCCCCCGCTCTCGGGGTGGACGCCCTCTCAGCCCTGGTCTGGCGGAAACACTGTGTTGGTGTAAAGCCAGCCTACATTTCCGTCATATCGGACGCAAACCTGGATCAGCTCCGTTGTAGCCCCGTTTTAGAGATTTGGGTACGGAGGAAAAGAGAGAGGGTTTTATTTTCTGACGCTGCGTGACTTCCCCAAGACACACCGGGGACACGTATTTATGTATAAAAGACATCAAAAAGTGCATTTTGCATGATAGGTCCCCTTTAAGTAAAATAAATCTTCTTGACTGACAGAAGTCTCTTGAGATAAATACTGTTGAATATAGTGTACTTGCATTCAAAGATATCCACCTTTCCCCCAGTAAGGAAGTTCATTTATATTTTCTGCGTTGTAATGATGACATCAGCATACTTGTGTGATACTCCTCATACTGGAGCGGCTTTGCAGTAAGGGTTGTATTACAGTCTATCTTAAAATATGTGAGTTTTCCAGTCCTTCTTACACAGAGCCAAACTGTCCTGCCTGGCCACAACGACTGCACACATACTTTTCAGATACTTTAGAGGCCCACGAATACATGGAGGTCTGCTGTTATGTAATCTGTATTTTCCATAGCTGGAATAGATTAAAGCACCTCCTGAAGTCAGGACTGTAGCCGTTCTCCAGCTAGACTTTTCTCTCTGGCTGCGTCTCATTTTACAGCATCATTATTATCACATGACATCACTTGCCTCTTTGGGAATATGCTGCCTCATTTACATGCTCAGTGTCTGTCTCTGAGCTGTCAGTGTGTTTTCATTGGCGGCGTCGTGGCGTGTGTTTGGCTTCCAGCACGTTGCCTGCACACTGTTTTCATTTCACCACGTGAGAGTACAGGAGTATGTTGCTGAGGAATGTGAAACGTGTGCACTTAAAACACATACTTAAAGTGGAACTGAAGTTTAAAGGGTCTTGGTTTTTTGCATCAAGAAATATAAACTATGATACTGGAGGAGTTGTGCATACATTTTCCTTTTTTCAAGCCTTTTTTGGAGCTTTAAACCTCAGGGTGGGCGTTACCCATGGAAACAGTTTTAAGCTGTGTGTCCTTTTTACAATATTTGGGATAGAAATACATGAGCATATCTCAGATCAAAGCTGTGTTTTGAAATGGCTTTGGTCCGAGCAAGGGGGCTATAATTAGGAGGTTAGGAAGTGGGCTGGGCCCCCGCCAAATTCTGCACCCCTGGCCCGATTTTGGTATTGCTTCTGGTTGGATCCCATCATGGTCTCTTAATTTTATTTGAGTTTGACTTGGAAAAAGGTTCTCAGTCAAAATATTGAAAATGTGAGGGTAGGTTT